AAAGGACTACAGCTCTGACACCTGGAATTCCTCACTCCTCCAATTTCCTGGATCTCCCCCTCCCCTAGGGAATGGGGCCTCATTCCTTTCTAAGACCTGCCCAATTTCCTGCCTTCCTTTGTTTAAAAGTATAAGTATCTTACCCTTACTGGGCTTTGAACAGATGTAGACTCTATCTCACAGTTCAAGCTTACAAGCTCTATCTTAGGCAATAAATGCAATTATAATCTTTGTAAACTGTGATTGGACTTTGGCTCATTCCAGGTCCCTCTTTTTGGACCTGGAGTTTCTTCTGTTTTAACAGTTCATAGGAGTTTTAAATTTAATACATGAATAGGAACCTCAATGGTCCCCCTTTTTTTTAAACTAAAACTAGTTTTCATTTCATGATCTTGTAGAAACACCAACAGCCCAGAAACCATCACAAATGGAAAAAAGAATATATTAAGTAAAATAACTGTTAAATGTTATTTCAATTTCATTTTTTTCAGTTCCGTTTTCTGTTTCTATACTTATCATTAACATCTTCACTTAGGATAAACTACAATATGCCCAAAGGAAATTTTTATATTTATTAGTTGGTAAAAGCATGCATCATAAGACGTAAAAGCAACTTAAGATTTACAGTGTTTATGGTAACAAAGCACAATATCTATTACCTTTGTGAGGTAAATCATGAAATTTTGGCACTGGACCTTTCCTTGGGGAACATCTAGTCCCCATATCTTACAGTTGAGAAAATTGAGGCTCGGAAACATTAAATTATGTGCTCAAGGATGAATTGCTTTTTCTAAGATAGAGATTTATGTAGCAGAAGGGCAGCTAGGTGGCACAGTAGATAGAGCACCGGCCCTGAAGTCAGGAGTACCTGAGTTCAAATCCAGCCTCAGACCAAACACTTGACACTTACTAGCTGTGTGACCCTGGGCAAGTCACTTAACTCCAATTGCCTAACAACAACAACAGCAACAACAAACAACAAAGATTTATGTAGCAGAGCCCCAAGCTCAAGTCCAGATATTCTGTGGCTCAATGAAGTTAGGTTTACACTAAACTCTTACCTTGAGCAAAGAGAGGCATCAAGTCCTAATGGAAAAGATTTCACTATCAGAATTCAAAATCAGTATGGGGTAATTAATGATTGTTTAATTACATAATCCCTACTTCAAGGAGGCATGCATAATAATAACCACCACAGGTGGCATTTTACCTCTCTGACTCTCTGTACCTTCTCTTGTAACCAAGAAGTAATAATGATTGCACTACTTATCAGGTTAACAGGAAAGTGTTTCGAAAGCCGCATATGCGAGTTATGGCTATGTTTTTAATTTTCTGGTAAGGAATTTGGTGAAGAGAAGACTACATCTATAAGTTAAGAGTTTGAGAAACTATATGCAGATTTTCATGACCCCTGTTTTTCATTTCTCTAAATACGATAATATATCATTTATTCAGAAGTCAGATTTCTAATTATAGCTGGCATTTATATAGCATTTTAAGGCTATTTATATAGCATTTTTAAGCACACACAACATTTTGATATCTTATATCCTCAGAACAATCCTATGAGGTAGATACTATTTTATCTTCATGTAAAGATGAGGAAACTGAGGCTGATAGAGGTCAAATGCCCGGGGTCCCATAATTAATGTCTAAGTCATGATCTGAAGTCAATTCTTCCTGACTCCAAGTTCAACACTATCCCCTGTACCACCTAGCTGCCCTATCCCCAGCTGTGCTGAATGAATAAATTGGAAATAAACAAAAATGGCACAACTTCAGAGTAGTGGCCAATAATAAAAATCATTGCCTTGTATTTGTTTTGCACGTATTTATTTCTGTAGATATTGTCTCCGATCTCCCCGCTCCAACCCTGCACTGCCATGCCTCCTTGAAGTAGGGATTTTTTATTTTTGTCTCTGTATCCTCAGCACCTATCACAATGCCTGGCTAATCTAGTGAACCCTTAAGAAATGATTATTTTGTATTGATCAGAATATGGCCCTGTGTCTCATTTTTTCCAGATACAAATTGAAGGGGATAGACTAAATAACTTCTAAGCCCTTTCCCAGTTCTAATGTTCTATGATCTAAACTACAATGACTTAGAGAGAGTTTCAGGAAAAAATAATGAATTCAAAGTAAAAGACTAGTCTAGTATATGTCCCAGGTCTGTTACTACCTTGTGTGATCTTGGATAAGCCACTGATGTTTTCTGGGTGTCTATTTTCTCATCTGAAAAATGAGGGTGTTGGATTAAATAAGTCTACAGGCCCTTCCAATTAGAAATATATATTCTAATGTTTATGTTTTATCTCCCCAATTAGAGTATAAATTCCCTTAGAACAGGGATCATGTCTCATATGTTTCAAAATGGACCTAGAAAGATGAACAAAATTAATTTAAGTAGAAGTTTGGGAAAGGTATTCCTGGTAGATAAAATAGCACCAGTAAAGGGTTACAGAAATGAGTTGACTGTGTAAAAGATACAATGAGGGATCCATTTGAATATAACATGTAGTATATTGCAGAAAATCAACCAATTAATGAACACTTATCAAGTGCCTCTATAAGCCAGGCATTGTGCTAAACACAGAGGATACAAAAAAAGGCAAAATACAGTCACTGTCCTCAAGGAGCTTACAAGCTAAAGGAGGAGATACCATGCAAACAAATAAATAAGAACAAGCTACATACAAGATAAATAGGAAGTGATTAACAGAGGAAAGGCATTAGAATCCAGAGAGGTTGGGGGATGCTTCCTACAAAAGAAGGGATTTCAGCTGGGACTTAAAGGAAGCCAGAGAGGTCAGGAGTCAGAGCACAAGAGGGAAAAGTGTTTCACGCAAGGACAGCCAAAGAAAATGCCAGTGCCTAGAGGAGTGTCTTGTTAATGGAACAGCCAGGAGGACAGTGTCACTGGACTGAAGAATAGGTGTCAGGAAGTAAAGTGTAAGAAGACTGGAAAGTAGGAAGGGCTAGGTTCGAAGAGTTTGAATGCTAAACAGATCATCTTGTATTTGATCCTGGAGGTAACTGACACCCACAGAAGTTTACTGAGTGACATGGTTGGACCTGCACTTTAGGAAAATCACTTTAGTGGCTGAATGGAGGATGGATTGTAGTGGGAAGAAACTTGAGACAGGCAGATCCATCAGTAGGCTATTACAATAGTCCAGGTGTGAGGTGATAGATGGCCTGCACTAGACAGGTGGCAGTGTCAGAGGAAGAGAGGTTACAAAGGTGAAACTGACAGGCCTTGGCAACAGATTAGATGGGGGGTGGGGTGGGCCAGGCAGAGCAGAGATAGGGAGGAGTACCAGATGACTCCCAGATTGTGAGTTTGAGTGACTGGTAGGATGCCATTGCCCTCTACAGTAATGGGGGGCTTGGGGTTTACGGTGAAAAATGAGTTCAGTTTTGGACATGTTGAGTTTAAGGTGTCTTCTGGACATCCAGTTCAAGTTGTCTGAAAGGCAAGTGGAAATGGGAGGCTGGAAGTCACCTAAGAGTTTGGGGTTGTATAAGTAGACTTGAAAATCACTAGCAAAGAAATTGTAATTAAATCCATGGGAGCTGATGAGATCACCAAGTGAAGAAGTATAGAGGGACAGGAGAACAGGCTGGAGATAATCCTGAGGGTTACCTATGGGTAGGGAGAAAGCTGGAAAGGTAGAATGAAGAGCTCTTATAGAAGGCATTAAAGAAAGGTTTGCAATAGGTCATTGTACATTCTTGAAGAGGGAGAAACAGCATGATGGTAAACAGTGTTAAGAGAATGTTTGCAAAGAGAACAAGTATTACTCATATATCTTCTTTTCTCATTTCACTATGTCTCAGTTTCCTCATCTGTTAAATGAGGGGGTTGGGCTAAATGGCTTTAAGGTCACTTCCAGCTCTAGAGCTTTGATGCTATGATAATAAATCCCTTAGCAGACCATGATGTTTTACCGAGCTAAACAAATGAAAACACCATGTCTATTTTGTTTGGCATACATTTACGGTGTTAAAAATTACACACCCAATAGGTTTTCCTTTTTCAGTTTAAATATTTCTCTATCCCTCACCCCCAAAGAACGGAAAACTTTTTTTTTCGTTTTTAGCAAGAAATATGCATCGAGGGAGAAGTTATCACCAGTGTCAAATTATTTCCCTATGCCGAAAGTGACACATAAAGTACTACATTAAAAAATTCAGTTCGATAACCTATATTATGTTAATATTTGTATTTTTTAGACCCTAGGGGAGAGGCAGTAAGGCATAGAAGATTGAGAGAGCAGCCTCTGACACTATGGCTTCGTGACCTTGGGCAAGTCGCTTCAGATAACTCTCCAGGGAGACAGAGCCCTGTAAAAATAAGAGATCGTAGTAATTTGAAGAGGGTGATTTCAGTTGAATGTGAAGCCTAATCCTGACTGCAAAGGGTTCAGAATCGAGTGAGAAGAGGAGTCATGTAGTGCATATGGCTTTCTCGAGGGGTTTTGCACAGTCAGATAGCTCCAGCATGCGGAGTGCCGTGCAAGGGTGCAGACGGAAATATCGGGGTGCATACTTTAAGGATGGAGGCAATCACACATCACCTGGGCCAGGTGCAGTTCATTCCTTTCCCCATCGGTCTCCAGGCCACTCCAGCCCCTTCCTCCTCCTGCTTCCAGGCAGTCACCTCTTTCCCGGTTAGGTCACCAGGTACCCGGAGCTCCCAGGACCAAGGACGGCCCCCAGCGCCCCCTCCCCATCCCGGCCCCGAGACTGGGGGTACCCGGGGAACCCCCCGCATGCGGGGAGAAAAGAGAACGCGCCGGCCGCTCCCGCTCGCAAGAGCCTAGACCTGGAAAAGGCCTCGGAGATCATCTGGTCCGGCGCCCTCATTTTACAGAACAGGAAACTGAGAAACATCAGCTTCGGTAAAGACCCTGTGCCCCCCACTGCACGGCGCGGGCCCCCCCGAGAAAGGAGCCAGTTCTGGCCACCACGCTATGAGCGCGGCCCCTCGGGACTCACCTCGTTATTGAGGTTTAGGACTCCCGTCTGAGCCATAGGGAAGCCCCCAGACCCGGGCGCAGCCACAGCTGCGGACGATGGCGCGGAGTCCGAGTCTCCCGCTGACATGCCGCTTCACCGGCACTGCCCCGACACGCTCCCCAGGAAAACCCAACGGGACACCAGCACGCGTGCGCAGTGGGCCCTCCTGGCTACGGAGGGAGGCTCTTTAGGCCCAAGCCTAGTGATTTCCAGACCGACCTAAGCGAGCCGGTAAAAAGGGTTCCGGGAAAGACCGGAAATTAGGGGTTGTGGTGCGCAGCATCCGGCGCAGTGTGGTGACGTGGCTGGTTCCTCTGGTTCATTTGGTATATGAAGTGTGCAGGATTTTAACAAGTTGTGTTGCATGATTTCCCCGTTTTTTCTGTTAATTGACTTCATTTAAATGATTTTGTTGTCGAGTCTTTTCAGTCATGTCCGACTCGTCGTGACCCCATCTTTTTCTTGGCAAAGATTCTGGAGTGGTTTGCCATTTCCCTCTCCAGCTCATTTTTACAGATAAGGAAACTGAGGCAGATGGGGTTAGGTGACATGCCCAGGGTCACGTCACACCGCTAGTAAGTGTTTGAGGTCGAATTTCAACTGTGTCTTCCTGACTTCCGGTCGGGTGCTCAGTGGATACACCGAGCCACCTAACCGGCCCAATGATTTGGGCCTTTAAGCAAAAGCCTGGAGGGTTGCTGGATACCCATTTTCACTTGAGGAATGGAATTGGGATTTGAGAAAGAGAGATTTGGGGAATAGGGCGAGATTGGGTGACGCCGAGGTCCCCCGTGTAGGGGAGCATTTTAGTTCAAATGTGTTTTTTAAAAAAAAGGCCTGAGCTAAGACTTGCCAAGGACAGAGCAGCAACAGCTTGGGGGGGGGGGAAGGAGTAGGGGGGGCGTGACATTCCTCAGGCACTTACTAGGTATGTGACCCTGGGCAAATCACTTAACTTCTCTGTGCCTCCATCTCCTCTTATATGGCCACTAAACTTATTTCTTTCCCTAAATCTATAATCTACTTGGGCCCCTGGGGAGCAGGAAGGAACAGGAGTAGGAGTTAGCTTATCTCGGGTTTACTACCAGGTCACCTGCCATACATGGAACTTTTTTTTTCAAGATTTTAGGTAATTTGACTTCTCTTGTTTCATAAAGTTAGGCCTGTGAAGAACAGAATTTGTCAACCAGACTTTCTGACACTTCTTTTCCATCCCCAAATACAGTGCAGTTGTGGAATTGGTGGGAGGAGTACCAGGAGGAGAAAGTGAATTTGGAATTTTCAGTGTCATTTATAAGTTGATAATTACACTAATCTTTTGAAGTGAATGACAGTTAAGTTTCTATAACAATCACGTGGAATTATTTATATTAGAAATAATCCATTTGAGCCCCTTAAGATTCATGCCAGTGCATTGCAAATGCAGTGTGCATTGTATATAAAGTTCATCTTACTGACCTAACCATGCACATTAAGATTTTATAAGTTAGTGGTGGTAGATTTGCAAAGCAACTCCTTCAAGTCTACAATGTCTGAAGACAGGAATGAAGTCTGACAATTTTTTTTTAATGACACTACTGACCTGCATCAATCAACAAGCATTTAAGATAGAGCCCTTATCCTAGAAGGTGAATCAGATGCTAACGCAGTAGCTACCTGTCATTACCTTTTCTTATTAGTGTGCTATTCCTTTCCTCTCTTCACTTTTGGAAGTTAATTGCATACAGGAGAGTGACCTGAGATCTTGACTTCAGTAACATAGTGCTCACACTAACAAATCTTTTTCTGTGATGCCTTACCTGATCATACCCAAATGTATTCTCTTCTACCATTCACTTGTATATACCATTCTGAACCTAAAATATATTTCTTTGTCTTGCAGGTGTTTTTGTGTAATACAAGACGTCTCCATTGCCTTTAGCTCAACTAGCATAGCTTCTGAAACAGTCTTGCTTCTCCTTCCTCCACATTGTTGCCAAATCAATCTTTCTTAGGCACAGAACTGATACCACTTGTTATATTCAAAACCTTTCAATGATTTCCTATTGCATGCTTTACCCTTATTTCCTGGTGATAACTGACTACCAATACATTCAAGCCACCCTACCTTTCTAACCTTTTCTAAAACTACTACCAACCTTCCCTCTTTTCTTTATCCCACTCCAAACTCCCCACCCACCCACCCCATACATCCAGTTTGGCTGCTGTCAAATTGAATCACAATATATCCTACATTTTCTTCCCTTTTAGCATTTGCTCACACTATTTCCTATGTCTGAAATGTTTTCTGCCCCATCAATACCAATTGAAACGCTACCCTTCAAGATTCAGTTGTAAGAAATAATTTCCATGATAAAACTTCCTTGATCCACCCACTTGAAGATGCCTGAGAATTTTCAGTGATTGTTTATAGCTCTCTTATGGACTTGCTATGTTCTGTTTCATATAATAGATGTTTTTATATGTTGTTCTTACTTTTAAGAAGTTAATATAATGCCAGACTGTGCCTACCACCATTTGAGTCTAGAAGTTTCTATGATGTAAGCTGAGGCTTCATGAAAATGGAGAGCAGGACAAACTTATAGCAGAAGATGCCTCAGGCTGGCCAGATTAAAACTATAGGTAAGAACAATATCAAAAGAGCTCAAGGAATAGTGAAAAAGAAAAAGTGTAAGGTCAGGCAAAAGTTTTAGGTGCTGGGAAAATGCATAGTGTTTGAGTTTAACAGAAAACTGGGCTCAGATTCAGGGGCAAAGCCAAGATGGGGGTGTGAAAGCAGTGACTTGTTTGAGCTCTCCCCCAAACTCCTCGAAATACCCATAAAAATGGCTGTAAACAAATTCTAAAGTAGAAGAACCCACAGAAAGGCAGATTAAAACAAATTTCCAGCCCAAGACAGTTTGGATGGTTGATCAGAAAGGCATATCATGCTGTGTGGGGAGAGGAGCATAGCTTGCATGGGCTTGCAGGCCGCAGTGAACCTGGAGCAGGCCTTAGAGAAATGAATCACAAGCAGCTGTGGCAGTTTCCAGACTCCTTAATCCACTTACTCCGAAGACAACTTAGAAGGTCAGTGGGAAAAGTCTGTTTCTGTGGTGCTGAGAGAGGAGCTGGGTCAGAGCCAGCTCCAGAGCGCAGAGCGAGGGCCGCTGGGGCAGTGGCTGCATTCTGAGCTTCCAGCCCACAGACTAAGGGGGAATCAAGTGGCTGATCAGAGGGGGACTGCAGGGATCTCTTTGACGGTGCTGAGGCAGGAATCTCTTGCTTTGCCTGTGCTTGGATCTGGGTCACAGTTCTAGGTGGCTGTGTGGGTTGAGGAGGAGCGCTGGCTCGGTGGAGCTTGTAGTGGCAGTGGAGAGAAAACCCTCCTCACAATTCCAAGAGAGAAAAGACTGCTTGTGGCCAGTCACTGAAAGACCAGAGCACAGGCCAGGAAAAGAGTAAACACCTTGACCTTTATCATACCACCTTGGAAGAACTGAAAATTTATAGGTCCCTAGAAGTATCTCTGAAAACAGCTGTACAAATCCCCAAAGCTTGGGAAAACACATTCTCCACATTGGAAGCAGACTCTTACCTTAACAAAGAGTTTAAAACTCAAGTAGTTGGCTGGGATCATTAGCAAACCTCACAAAAAGAGTCAGACTATATTATCTTACTTTGGCAACAAAGAAGATGAAAACATACAACCAGAAGAAGACAACAAAGTCAAAGCTCCCACATCCAAAGTCTCCAAGAAAAATATGAATCCGTTCCAGGCCTTGGAAGAGCTCAAAAGGGATTTTGAGAAGCAAGTAAGAGAAGTAGAGGAAAACCTGGGAAGAGAAATGAAAGAGATGCAAGAAAATCATGAAAAACAAGTCAACAGCTTGCTAAAGGAGACCCAAAAAAATACTGAAGAAAATAACACCTTAAAAAATAGCCTAACCCAAATGGCAAAAGAGGTCCAAAAAGCCAATGAGGAGAAGAATGCCCTAAAAAGCAAAATTGGCCAAATGGAAAAGGAAGTCCAAAAGCTTACTGAAGAAAATACTTCCTTAAAAATTAGAATAGAGCAATTGGAAGATAGTGACTTAATGAGAAATCAGGACACAGTAGAACAAATCCAAAAGAATGAAAAATTAGAAAACAATGTGAAATATCTCATTGGAAAAACAACTGACCTGGAAAATAGATCCAGGAGAGAGAATTTAAAAATTATTGGACTATCTGAAAGCCATGATCAAAAAAAGAGCCTAGACATCATCTTTCAAGAAATTATCAAGGAAAACTGCCCTGATATTTTAGAACCAGAAGGCAAAATAGAAATTGAAAGAATCTATCTATCTCCTAGGAATATTGTAGCCAAATTCCAGAGTTCCCAGGTCAAGGAGAAAATATTACAAGCTGCCAGAAAGAAACAATTCAAGTATGGTGGAAACACAATCAGGATAACACAAGATTTAGCAGCTTCTACATTAAAGGACTGCAGGGCATGGAATATAATATTCCAGAGGGCAAAGGAGATAGGATTACAACCAAGAATCACCTACCCAGCAAAACTGAGTATAATCCTTCAGGGAAAAAATGGTCATTCAGTGAAATAGAGGACTTTCAAGCATTCTTGATGAAAAGACCAGAGCTGAATAGAAAATTTGACTTTCAAATACAAGACTCAAGTGGAACATGAAGAGGTAAACAGGAAAGAGAAATCGTAAGAGACTTATTAAGGCTGAACTGTTTACAGTCCTGCATGGAGAGATGATATAACTCATGAGACCTTTGTCAGTATTAGGGTAGTGGGAGGGGAAAAAATTATATGTATGGATGGATAGATAGATAGATAGATAGATAGATAGATAGATAGATAGAGGGCACAGGGTGAGTTGAAGATGAAGGGGTGATATCTGGAGAATAAAATTAAGGGGTGAGAGAGGATTATACTAGAGAAGGAGAAAGGGAGAGGTAGAATGGGGTACATTATCTCGCACAAAACAGACAAGAAAAGTTTCTTACAGTGGAGGGGAAACGGGGGAAGGTGAGAGGAAATGAGGGAATCTTATTCTCATAGGATTTGGCTTAAGGAGGGAATAACATACACACTCAATTGGGTATGGAAATCTGTCTTACCCTACAGGAAAATAGGGGAGGAAGGGGACAAGAGAGCTGGGGGATGATAGAGAAAGGGCAGATTGGGAAAGGGGTAATCAGAAGGAAGTACTTCTGAGGAGGGACAGGGTCAAAAGAAAGAATAGAATAAATGGGGGGGC